TCACTTCATAATTAATTAACTTTGTAACACTTTACTTTAAGGTTCCCTTTATAAAGCGTTTATAAAGGTGTTCATAAATGACTAATAACTCATTTACAAATGCATTATAACTCATTGATATGCAGTTATAAATGCATGAATAAAAGGGTAATTTTGATGCAATACCTGCCAAAGAGTGAGCCATTTTTAACTCACATGCTATAAATGCTTAACAAATATATGTATTGATACTTATTTCACTCAAAACCAGATTCCTGATTTATTTCATGAGGCAGCAAAAAATGTACTATTATAGCAAGACTGAAGGGTGTTGTATTTATGGTTTTCTCATTTATATCTCATGACTTATGTCACTTACTATGTTTCTTACCAGAATCTACTCTGTACCTTACCCAAGATTCTCCGCAAAGTTCATGATGTCTATCCACAGCAATGATTAGAAACTGATATATTTTGTTTATCAAGATGAAATTATCATCTTGAATTTTATTTTGGGGGAAAAATCATAAAAGCACAACCATGACTTGATGAGATAATATTGAACATTTTTATTTCAATATTACCTGTGAACCTTAATGTAATTCTCCATTTATTAATGATTTATAAAGGTTAGTAACCTGTGAAAGTGAACCTTAATGTAAAGAGATCACCTATGAACATTTATTAATGAGTTATAAACATTAATAGCCTGTGAAAGCGAACCTTAATGTAAAGTGAACACCTGTGAACCATTTATTAATGAGTTATAAACGTTAATAACCTGTGAAAGCGAACCTTAATGTAAAGTGAACACCTGTGAACCATTTTATTAATGAGTTACAAATATTAATAACCTGTGAAAGCAAACCTGTAAAGTGAACACAGCTGTGAACTATTTATTAATGAGTATTAAACATTAGTAACTAGTCAAAGTGAACTTTAATGTAAAGTGGACACAGTAATAATTTATTGATTGATTGATTGATTATTATTGCACACAGAAAAAGTTAGTATTTTCTGGTATAATAAATTGTATTGTGGTTGCACTACATCAGCAAATAACTTTCAACTTGAAACAAAAAGATTCATCTTTTCTTTTACAGCACACTGGAACATTACTGAGCTTAACTTCACACAAAAAAGTGGCTTATAAAAGTAAACTCACATTATAACTAAGCATCAAATCTATGCAACAACAACATTTGATAAATGCAAACTCAATAAAGGCACCTAAATATTTTTATTTTATATAATTTAACAGTTTTTAGAAAATAATTAAATCAATGACTGAAAGCACTGTTACAGAAGATTATCATATTAATAAGTAATCAGTAATTACTTTTTGATATCATGATAAAGCCCACTGTAACGTCAGTATTTGTTCATCCACACTCGCAGTAACGTTACCTGCGCGCGAGCGAACCGTCCGTGGGAGCGCCGGAGAGGTTATTTATTTGTATGGTAATGAATTAATTCAACTAGCAAAGCGATTACACATATAAACACTTGAAAAATATACTCCGCAGTGTCACCTCACAGTTAGCTGACCCGTAAAATTAATAAACACTATGTGAGATTGTAATTTTGCGTCAGAGCACGTTGGAACAATCCTAACAGCATTACTTCTTCTTCTTTTTTGAAAACGTGACTTTACTTTACAGACTTTGGTGACACACAGGCAACTACAGATACACTCATCAGAGGAGGACAGGAAGAAGAAGAGGACGAAAAGGAAGGGGAAAGGAAAAAAGTATGGGAAGAAGTCAAAGAAAATGGAAATGAAGACACATCAGAGAGGTTAGAATGCTGTTTACACCCTTTCCACTCACTGGGTTATGGTTTGCCATTGGTTATGTCTGCTGTACATTTGTTTCTCTCTTGGCTGGTTCTTCCTGCATGATGTCACATTAACATGGTAGACCATCTACAGGGTGACTTAAGCTGCATTTATTGCATTAAATCATAACTTAATAAGCTACCATTTACTTCACTCTGGAAGAACTTACAGCAAACTACAGAAACTACCCTTAAGATAAATATTATTTGGTTAGCTAAAGCACTGTTAAAAAAATAATAATAATAAAAAATATATATATTTTTTTTAAAATTTGCACACTATGTGTCATATTGTAGATTGGAACAATCTATGAGTCAAATGTGTGTGTCAAAGGGTGTGCAAGAATAATTAAACCAACTACTAACACTTATTCTGTTTTCTTTGAATTACAGCTCAAACACCACAACAGGTGGTGGCCCGATACAAAAAAAAATATTAGGCATTTCAGTAGGGGAGGGACCATGTCAGCTGCTTTCAAACATGTTGGTGTGGACCGGAACACAGTGGTGGTCAATGCTTCATTCGCAGAGCTGTACATCACTGCACATGACAAGTATAAGGAACTCCTTAAAAACACAGCAGTCAGATAAACTTAGTGCATTTTCCACACAGTGTGCTGCTGCAATTCATGAGGATCTAGCTATACAAGATACTATCAAAGCCTTTAAGGTTTCTGGCAAGCTGCTGCCCCTAAAACAAAAGTGAACTGACCTAGGATCTGGGGAAGTTTTCACACTAAATCTTACTAAAACAAACTAAAGTTGTACAATGAACCTAAACTCATCCACGATCTGCACTGCTGTTCTCTAATGTTTGAAAGTTAGTACTGAGGTATTTTTGACACAGTTTTGACATATTTTATTATATTATTATTATTGTTTTATAAAATTTTTATTTGTTGTATTTTGGCACTTCTGTAATCCAGTGTTTGCACTCTTAAATTTTTATTCAGCAATGTTTGTACTTTACAGAAATGTATTTTTATATCAGATTGCAGATTCATTTTGGTGCACAGTTATGTTTTCTGGAGGTGTACAGGATTTAAAATTTTTCTATGGTATTGCAGAGGTTTATTTTTCATTTTATATGAGGTGTACAGTTGTACAGTGTAATTTTTTTAATGAAAATAAATATTTATATGTTCTGTATCCCTCTGTGTTGTGTTTCTTTCCTTTTTCTGTTTAGAAGATAACTGAGCCTTTAAATCTCACAAAAATAGTTAACTGACAAGTAGTACATGTTTTATAACTACCTGAATTAATCACGAATACGTGTTAATAAAGCATTAATTAACGCACTGAGTAATTGTTACTTTATGCCTGAATAATAAGATGTATAAATGAACATTCAAATAGTTTATTAATCACTTATACTTTCTAAATGATCTCATGAACCACTGATAACTCCTTACTAACTGGTTTGTAAATAATGTAATACTTAATTTAGAAATGATAAATTGATCATTAATAAAGTATGAAAATACAATTATTAAGCATATTATATACATGCTTATAAATGAAGAATAAAGCATTTATAGCTGTATTTATAAACTGCTTACTAATGTCTATTAATGTCGGGACAATGCTTTATAAATGATGAATTAATTGTTTACTGATGCTTAACTAATGATTCATAGCATGCAGTTATTATAAAGTGTTGCCATACTTTCTATTGTCAATTAGTGTAAACAGCATCTAAAATATTCTACACTGCAAATAGCCACTGCCTTATATAGAGGTGTAAAATGCAAACTTTATATAGTGGTACTGGACTAACAAAACCCTAAGTTTGAACAATTTACTATACCAATACCATACAAATGTTTTTATGGACTTCTGAACTTGCACACATTATTACTGTTGAATTCATTTCATAACATTGTTTCTCGTGGCCACGTACACGATGCTTTAAAGCTAAAATTTGGGCTTCGTGCTAGAGTTAATGTTCTAAAAATATACTAAGTTTAGAGAGCTTTTACTGCACCAGGATTTTTAAATGACACTTTAAATTCACATAGCCATATAAATAACTTGGCTTATGATAGTAAACTGCCCAAAATCAGAATTTCTTTAAATCATTACCTCTAGAGTTTTAACACATCCTCTATAGTGGCCAAGAAAAAGGAGTTTTGTTGTGTGAATTTTGTTGTGACTTCTTTCCATTGTGTTGTGGTGATTTCATTGTGTTGTGGAGATTTCGTTGTGTTTTGGCTTATTTCCATTGTGAGGCGATTTCATTGTGTTGTGGAGATTTCGTTGTGTTTTGGCTTATTTCCATTGTGTTGTGCTAATTTTGCTCATTGTGGCTTGTTTCCATTGTGTTGTAGCAATTTCGTTGTGTTGTGAAGATTTTGTTGTGCTGTACACTACTGGGCCACCGTAGAGGGGAGATATCCATGTCTTGTAAATCTTTTCTGGGCTTTAGTGTTCTGTCACGTAGCACTGCTACATTAATCCACAAAAGATGCATAACACAGGCAAATACACATGAGGGCTTAAATACACAGGGAATAGTAATCAATGGGACAAGCAACAGGTATGCAATCAGAAACAATGAATGAGAACTCAGGCTAAGAGGAACAAGAAAAAAAAACTGAAAATGACCGTGACTCTCTCTCTCTCTCAAAATGTTTTTACCTTCAAAGTAAAACTTCCACCAGTCTCTGTTGATTGTGCCAGGGCTCTGGTAGTGATGCGCCCCTGGAGAGTGTTATTTACAGAGTTGAAGAAGCTTGATTTTCCAGCACCTTGCGGTCCATACAGAAGAATTCTCAGAGTCTTGATTTCTTTGTTCCCAGGTTTGAAGTTGATTATTGTTGACAAAATATTTTGTCTATCTTTGCTAGAAAGAGAATTTTAAAAGGTAGGAAACACACTGTTGGCCTACAAATGCAGCCTCATGTCATTTTAGAAACAGAAAGATGAAAAGCATCAACACATATTAACTTGTATAGCAACACAAAATGCAAGATGCAGAATAAATCTAAATAAAACTAAAAAGTGAAAGATGAAAAGTATCAACTTAAGTTAAGATGCTGAATAAAACTGTGCAAATAAAACTTCAGAATTGAACAGAAGTGCACAGATTCTGAACCGTTTACATTTTTGTAAAGGCTTATTTTGCTCATTGTCTATATGAGAATAAAATACCTCAGAGTGCTACGAGAGGCATGAAATCAGTATGTAGGAAAAATGTTGCCTGAAACAATGGTCATTCAGTTTAGTTGTCATTACACAAATATGACCATGGAATGTTGTGATTAAACAATCAGAATCAAGTTTTTCAGAGTAATAAGCTTAACTTGGAAAAAGGTCTTCAGAGCTTACTTCCAGTCCAAGGACCGCCAGGGTTCATCATACTCTGTTTAACCAAACAGAATATTTAATCAATATCATTTTTTATTTTTATTTTGGGCTATTTTACTGTTGTAATGTTGATCTATATTGCACATTATATTTTGCTGGGTTCCAACATAATTCAACCACTGTTTCATATCTTAATTGTTCTGTTTCACTGAGAAAATGAGAGAAAATAAATAATTTACAGTACCTGAAGATGGAGCAGTGGGTTTTTAAAATTTTTTAAATGTCCACATCCTAGCAACACCTTTGTCCTTATCTTAAAGTAAAGATAAAATATTGTTTAACAATTTAAATGATCAAAATTCAACAAAAGCTGAGAACAAATATGCCATTGTATGTAGTGTGAAGGTTTCTTTCCATCTTAAACAACTTTTTGTCATCTGGCGAGCCTAAAAGAACACATTTAAAAGAGCAAATATGCACTGTCATCAGCGTGCAGGGAAGTTCTGCACGAGGTGCAATGACGGTGCGACATTTGCAACAACGGCACGAATTTGCTCTTTTAAATTTGCTCTTTTAGGCCCGCCAGATGGCGGCAGGGGACAATCTGAGATCCGCACGGTTTGGTGGAATCGAGGACGATCCTCTAGATGATAGCATGTCTCAGAGGAGTGGATGCTCCATCCGCAAACGGTGCTAAGAATCTGGGAGATCTTTGGCAGGGCAGAGGTTGACCTCTTTGCCTCAAAAGACAACTCTCATTGCCCAACTTACTTTTCTAAAGACATGGACGATTCTTCTTTCGATTCTTCTCTCTCAGGCGAACAGGACAATTTGGCACCCCCAACCCGAAATGTGGGCTCTGCACCTATGGGCTCTCGATGGGAGCCAACAAACCTCCCTGAGGGTGTCTTAAATACTATCTCACAGGCTAGAGCCCCATCTACGAGACCCCTCTATACCCTTAAATGGTCTGTCTTCTCTGCCTGGTGCACAACCCGTGGCAAGGACTCAACTTCCTGTGACATATCGGTGATATTGTGCTTCCTCCAATAGCTGTTGGATAAGGGCCGTTCCCCTTCCACTCTCAAGGTTTGTTTCTATAACCTGTGAATATATCCCCATTGTATTCTACAACAAAAACAATCGGAGCACCTTGTTATCACTAGTTTTATTTTGATTTGCCAAGTCTGCTACTAGCTTATAGCCCATTAGCATTGCTAGTGCAGTTGCCGCTAATCTTGCTTACATTGCTTACACTCCATTCTTTTACTCACTGTTATTTGGTTTAAATGGTGGATTTGAGTCTACCTTTGAGTGCAGGTGAGGACACGTTCGAGCTGCACTCGGTGCAGACCGCGAGACGAAACGCGATGCCGTGATCGTCAGAGACTCCATCGTCCAGCATGTCCGTGCTGCCCTAGCTAAATGTAAATTGCACACTCACTCTTTTCCGGGTGCTTGTTTTCTCTATGTTTCTGTGCAGATACCCGCGATCCTGAAGGGCGATGAGAGCATCGGCACTATCGTGCTGCACGTGGGCGAGAATGACACCAAGCTGCGGCAGGCGGAGACTCTGAAGAGGGACTTCAGGAGCCTGATCGAGACAGTATGCAGCACATCGCCCGCGATGAGGATCGTCATGTCAGGACCGCTTCCCATGTATCGACAAGGACACGAAAGGTTCAGTAGACTGTTTGCTTTAAATGAATGGTTATTGTCATGGTGTAAAGAACAGATACTGCTCTTTGTTAATAATTGGAATCTTTTCTGGGAGCGACCTAGGCTTTTTAGTGCTGATGGCCTGCACTCCAGTAGAGTCGGAGCAAAACTCCTGTCGGACAGCATCTCCAGGACGCTACGCTCCATATGACTAGTAAGCCAATTCTCAAATAACGGCTATGATTGCTTTTGTTCTACCCACTTAAATGATAGAAGTACTTGTGTTGTCCAATCTATAAAGAATGTGTCTGTTCCCCGAATAGTGAGGTCAAAATATAAATTTAATGCAGGATCTAAAAAAAACCTGATCGTGATTAAACCGGAAAAATTAATTTACAAAAACATTTTTTAAAGCTTGGGCTCTTAAACATTAGATCACTCGCACCCAAAGCAGTTACTGTATATGAAATGATCACAGAGAATAGTTCTGATGTACTCTGCTTTACTGAAACCTGGCTCAAACCAAATGACTATATTATTGGTCTAAATGAGTCTACTCCACCAAGCTACTGTTATAAGCATGAGTCCCGTCAGATTGGTCGTGGTGGCGGTGTTGTAACAATATATAGTGATATTCTCAATGTTACTCAGAAAACAGGATACAGGTTTAACTCATTCGAAATAATTCTGCTTAATGTTACACTGTCAGATAAACAAAATAAATCTCTCCTATCTCTTGCTCTGGCTACTGTGTATAGACCACCAGGGCCGTATACAGATTTCCTAAAAGAATTTGCAGATTTCCTCTCAAAACTATTGGTTAATGTTGATAAAGCGCTAATTGTCGAAGACTTTAACATTCATGTTGATAATATAAATGATGCGTTAGGACTTGCGTTTACAGTCTTAATAAACTCTTTTGGAGTCAAGCTAAACATAACCAGACCCACTCATCGTTTTAATCATATGCTAGATTTAATTATATCGCATGGAATTGATCTTAATGATATATAGTACCTCAAAGTAACGATGTTACTGACCACTACCTTGTATTGTGCATGCTGCCTATTACTGATATTAACTATATGGCTCTGCGTTATCGTCCGGGTAGAACTATTGCTCCAACTACCAAAGATAGATTCACAAATAAACTGCCTGATTTATCTCAACTGCTCTCTGTACCCATAAATACACATGAACTAGACGAAATGACTAGCAATATGGGCACTATCTTCTCTAATACATTAGAAGCTGTTGCCCCCATCAAATTAAAAAAGGTTCAAGAAAAACGTACTACGCCATGGTACAACAGCAATACCCATTCTCTTGAGAAAGAAACTTACTTTAATTATTATTAATTATTATTATATAAGCGTGCGCTCGCCACAGGATTCTCAGGTTACTTCGACTGAAGTCGTGAAACGTGCAGCTACATAGCACGGCAAGCAACTCAGTTCCCGTATCTCAGGGAACCGAGGTTATGTTAGTAACCGAGTACGTTCCCTTTCGATACTTCACTCGTACTGCGTCTTTCTTAGACGCATATGGGAACATAGTACAATCACGCCGTGCTAATGTAGTGGAACGACTAAAGGTATAAACTTCCATAAGCAACCAATGCTCATAGAGAAGTCAAAAATAACCCAAGGCTAAGACGGGCTGAGCTTCCTAGGTCACACCCGGCCTGGTTAATCGTTCCAGAGTATTCCCATAACTTCGACACCCAGGGGTCGAGAGCTAACAGGTGAAACAATGCCAGAGAACTTGGGCGTGATACGACCAAGGGCTCTCTGCCAGATCTGTTTACGCAGCGCATGTAAGTTCAAGTGGAAAGGACCCTGGCCTGCAAGGCCGGGACTTCCAGTTTATAAAACCTTGTGAATGTGGACGGCGAGGCCCAGCCAGCCGCCTCACAAATATCCGCAACGGACACACCACTGGACCATGCCCAAGACGAGGCGATGCCTCTAGTCGAGTGGGCCCGTACTCCAATGGGAAGAGTACGCTGGCGAGATGGAGTCTACTATCCATCTAGAGAGTCTTTGCTTCGTAATATAAAACCTTGTGAATGTGGACGGCGAGGCCCAGCCAGCCGCCTCACAAATATCCGCAACGGACACACCACTGGACCATGCCCAAGACGAGGCGATGCCTCTAGTCGAGTGGGCCCGTCCTCCAATGGGAAGAGTACGCTGGCGAGATGGAGTCTACTATCCATCTAGAGAGTCTTTGCTTCGTAACTGGAAGCCCTTTGGTGCGGTTACCGAAGCTGACAAAGAGTTGTTCCGATGGCCTATAAGGAGCGGAACGCTCAATATAGATTCTCAAAGCTCTGACGGCAGAGCAGAGATAGCTCTCTGTCCTCTTCAGTTGGAGGAAGTGCAGAGAGCGTAATGACCTGTGCTCTGAACGGAGTGGAGAGCACTTTAGGTATGTAACCGTGCCTTGGTTTCAGGACGACTTTAGCGTCGTTAGGCCTGAATTCCAGGCAGGCAGAGCTAATAGAGAGCGCCTGCAGGTCCCCTATTCACTTTACTGATGCCAGTGCTAGAAGCAGAGCAGTCTTCAGTGATAGCAACCTAATGTTGGCAGACTGTAGCGGCTCGAAAGCGGGGCCCTTCAGGACCCTCAGCACAGTGGGCAGGTCCCACGAAGGGACGGTAGGGGGACGAGGCGGATTCAGCCTCCTAGCACCCTTCAGGAAGCGGATGATCGCGTTATTTCTGCCCACCGATTGACCCTCAATAGGGGCATGAGAGGCCGCTATAGCCACCACATAGACTTTGAGCGTCGATGGGGAATGTCCCTCATCCAGCAGCTCTTGTAGAAATGACAACACCTCTGCCAAATCGGAAGTAAGGGGGTCTTTGCCGCGCTTTAGACACCAAGCTGAGAAAAAAAAACACTTTACGGCGTAAAGGTGTCTCATAGATAGAGCTCTAGCCTCCGAAATTGTGTTTAAGACTCGCTCTGGGAGGCACGAAGGCTCCCGTCAAGCAGCTAGAGGTGCAGGACCCATAGGTCAGGCCGAGGATGCCCTTAATGTCCCGTTCGCTTGAGAGAGGAGATCCCGTCTCAGTGGAACAGGCCAAGGGGCCGCTATCAGTAGCTGAGTTAGCCCCGATAGCCACAGCTGGTTCATCCAAAGGAGGGCCACCAGGAGAACCCTGTGTTCTTGTTCCCTCACTCGCCTGATTACCCGGACACACCACTGGACCATGCCCAAGACGAGGCGATGCCTCTAGTCGAGTGGGCCCGTACTCCAATGGGAAGAGTACGCTGGCGAGATGGAGTCTACTATCCATCTAGAGAGTCTTTGCTTCGTAACTGGAAGCCCTTTGGTGCGGTTACCGAAGCTGACAAAGAGTTGTTCCGATGGCCTATAAGGAGCGGAACGCTCAATATAGATTCTCAAAGCTCTGACGGCAGAGCAGAGATAGCTCTCTGTCCTCTTCAGTTGGAGGAAGTGCAGAGAGCGTAATGACCTGTGCTCTGAACGGAGTGGAGAGCACTTTAGGTATGTAACCGTGCCTTGGTTTCAGGACGACTTTAGCGTCGTTAGGCCTGAATTCCAGGCAGGCAGAGCTAATAGAGAGCGCCTGCAGGTCCCCTATTCACTTTACTGATGCCAGTGCTAGAAGCAGAGCAGTCTTC